TGGTTCATTGTCTCAACTGTGTCAGCTGTTAAGTCTGTTCCTTGAATTAATTTTAATTTTTTACATTTTTTAGTAACAATTACTCTGTTCCTTTTAAGATCCATAATCATATGCTGTATAACATTTCCACCAATGATTGACCACACATAAGATGGAGGTCCCTTAAGAATATATTGCCTTGTGATATTGTAGCCATCTTACTTGGTACCCTCTGTAATATTTGCACAATGGTGCATGTCTCAAAACATATGCCATTAAGTGACACAACTGTATTTTGTCACTTTTTATGGTTTCTAGTTTGTTGCCGAGGTTTTTCTGTTTTGATAGTATCTTCAACATAGTAAGTAATTTAAAATCAATGCCTGATAAGTCCAATACTTGTAGTCCCTGTGGTTCTGTTTTTGTTATTGTTTCTTTGGCTTTTGGTCATCTTCTCTTGTCTCCTCGTGTTCTAATTGTATGCTGGGCATTGTATATGGAATTTTATTTGAGAAATCATTTGAAATGATACATTTCATAAAGGATTGTGTGTGTTTGTGTTTGTGTGTGTGTGTGTATGTGTATTTTCATTTGCTTGAGAGAACCCAGGATTACTTAATCAAATCACACCGTTCCTGGGTCAGCCACATGACTCAAGATCATACAAGATCATATTACATTCAGTGTATGGACTGATTCATTTTTAGTTTACCCTTATTTCTGAGGTCTTCAAGGATTCCAGCCTGAAGATGGGAGAAGGGGCTTTTTCCCCTTTGTCCCTCTGGTCTGTCAGACTGGCTGTGTTGGCAGCTTTTCATTGCTGTGACTAAAATACTTGACAAGAACAACTTAAAGGAGGAAAGATTTACTTTGACTCAGAGTTTGAGAAGTTTCAGTCTTTGTCAGTCTGCCAGTCTGTTCCATTGCTCTGGGCCTGAGGTGAGACAGAACATTACTGTGGAACAGGATGGCAGAGGAAAGCTGTCAGCTATGGCAGTCTGGGGGTGGGAGCAAGGAATAAGTTTTATCCCCAGTGACACACTCTTAGTGACCTACTTCCTCCAACCACACCCCATCTGCCTATAGTTTCCACCATTTCCTAGTTGTCCATTCAGCTGTCAGTGTATTAATCCACACGTGTGTTCAGAACTCTCATGATCCACTCACTGCCCATATTACTCACCTCTGGACATTGTTGCACTGGGGACCAAGTAAGTCCTCAACATACGAACTTTTGAGGGACATTCAAGAGCCCAACTGTCAGATACATTTGAACCTCTGACTTCCTCTTTTAGATTGCTGAGCTTACCTTTTTGAATTTCAGTCCTTTAATGAATCTGAAAGCACTGTCCTGTTAATTCTTTGACCCTTTGAAGAAAGTCATTACTTACATTTTGTCCAACTCTGTTACTTATCTCAATGGGAGGGTTGATTCAAATTACCTCATATTCTATAACCAAGGTAGGGAGGCTTCTTGTTGGCTCTTTATGGGCAGAATTTATTTACAATGGCAGTGACTTTATCGCTCTTTTTTAAGACCTGAGACTTGTTCCCTAGTTCCATATGTGCTTTGTTTTAAAGAGTTTATTTACTCGTGTAATTATGTACATTTTTATTTAAAAGCTACATATTCTGTATATTTATATAAATGTAAGTACATTATTTTGTGATTAGTCAGCAACATTTTGAGCCTCTATAACCTTGGATAATTTTTAGACCTTAACCAATGGGTAAATTTACTGAAATGTCAGTTACAGTGGTCTAAAATGATTCTCATAATATGAAATATCTCTTAATTGCTATTGAAATTAGTATGCATAATATCAACTAAGTTTCCCCCCTCTAATTGAAAAGAATATTTTTTTAGTTATCTGTTTACCCTTATGACTTCTTAGTATACTTGTATGTGGGTATAATATATATCTGCCCTTGTGAAATAGAAGAAAGAGGCAGTTCTGATGAGATTCTTAAATTTGCTGCCGTATGAGAGCTCTCAACCTAATGAATAAATATGGTACATTATCAGTTATAAACTTTTTCATTTTATGTAAATTAATTCCCATAGGAGCCTCTGAAGTAAGTATGTGATAATTAGGTGTGGTTTTAAGCAAAGGATTAGGAAACAGGGCCTGAGAGCTTAAGTAACTTTCTTGTTGTCCCACACCTGGCGAATTGTGTATGTTCTTTGTCTATTATTATTATTACACATTTTATTTCAGCTATAATGGCCTACAGACGCTCACTGACTCCAAGTTTTATCGTTCTATGCTTTCTTCTTTCTGTAAACCATGTATCATGACCCCATGACTCATGTCCTAAAGATAGAGACAATTGGGAGAATATTTCTTCATATCCCATTCTCACTGTCCCCCACCACACCTCATTTCTAGAACATAGTCCCACTGGCTCTGAATTTGTCAACCTCTGCCCTGTTTGAAAGCTTGCTTTGTCACAAGTCTTCTTTCATCCCTACATGTATAGTTCCCTTTCCTCTCTTCAGATATGCCTCCATTTTCCAGTTCCAACAAAATTGCCTATTTTTTATCTAATGCATTTTCTGTCTTTTATGATTAATGTCATACTTCTTTACTAACTTCATTCCTGGATACCTTCTGTAAGTCTTTGTTTTTTGCTTCTTCAATCACTCTTGATGAAATCCTAGCCAAAATCTTGTTAGCTCTGTCCTTCTTAGTCTTAGGGCCAAAAGCTGACCCACCTCAGACCCCTTTCCCAGCAATAGAGTCTGTGCTCCTGTACATTCTTGTTTTCAACATTCTTGCTACTCCTTTGAATGATAGCCTCAAAGAGTTAGTTATCTTACATTAGACCTGTGACGTCAAATGCCCTTATTTAATTTGGAGCATATTCAGTTACTACATGTTTTGGGGTATAAGAATGCCTCCTCCTAAAATTTAGTATCACTCCATTTTTTTCTTGAGAACTATTTCCTTTATCCCTAAGGATTCTTTTGTTTTGAAAGTTCATTCATCAGATTTTTCCCCTGTCCTACTCACAAATCTGTCCTGCCTTGAAATGTTGATAGAACTGAATTTCCTCATGTAGGACATTTGTATCTTCACTCTTTTTATTGTTTAATCTCTCATCTTTTCTTTTGTCTGTTTTATTTTTGTTCAGTAAGCTTGTTTTACTGAATCTGTCACTACCTTTTTGAACTTTCTCATCAGGATTCCAGAAAGTGCACTTCTTCACCAGCTCAAGAGATGGTTCAAGACCGGGCATGGCCTTCATACTTCTTGCTTTATCACTTACTGTAGTTTTCAATAAATATTTAAATTAAATAGTGTTGGTATTTTAAAGGTTTTTAACCTCTGGACTGGCTGAAGAACCCTCTTAGTAGCTTTATATCTCTAGCAAATATTTTGAATATACTACTTTTTTTCTCCTTAAAGGACTATAGTGTCTTCTAGTTCATTACTTTTAACTTTGTGAGCATTCCAAATATACACAAATAAAAAGTTCACTGAACTTCTGATGTTGTGGTTATCAACAGTTCACTACTTGTTTCATCATCTCCTTACTCCTTTACTTTTGCTGAGAATTTAAAGCATATCTAAGATATAATTTCACCTCTAAATTAATATGCCTCTAAAACAAAACATTTTTACATAACTGTAGAGTTCTTATCATACACAGCGCATCTAATAATAATTCCTTAATAACATAGACAACACTTCAGTCCGTATTCAAGTTCCCTCAGTTAAATCTCTCTTTATTCTCTTGTAAACTATACCAACCCTCTCTGCTTTTATTCATGCTCACATGTCCATTCTTGGGGTGTGTTAACTTGTTCCTTTATCCTTTGTATTTTATGTGGACTGACAATTAGAACTATATGCTTAATTACTTTCAGATTATACTTTCTTAGGGGAATAAATAAGAGTACTTGCTGTCATTTCATATTATGTCTCATCCAGAGGCATGTAATGTCTGATCATTTCACTTTTTGAATATTGCCATGATTTATCAGAGGGTTCAGGTGGACAGCTTGATCTTTTCATGAAGCTTAACTTTTCACTTAGTGTTCTTATTATTTATTGATTATGAGTAAGTGAATTAGTTACCTAATTAAAGTTTGCAAAGTTGTGATTATTCTAATTTGCTCACTTCTGGCATTATTAGCTGAATTTTTTCTAGATGGTAGAATTTTTTTTTTCCTTTTTCACTAGGGCTATTTGGTTAACATGAAATATCTAGTCAGTTCTTGAGCTATTAAAATCCCTAATTGGGAAACTGAAGACTGCTTTCCTCTTTGTAAACTAAAATGGTATTAGTTTATTTATGATTATAACAAATTAGCTTTTTTCCTTTTTCATGGAGTTAAAGTCATTCCTGAGTGGTAGATTAGTGATTTAGTGGGCCAAATTATGGGAGAGTCTCCCAGTCCTGAGTGAGCAATTGTCATTCTCTTGAGGCATAGGATAGCAGAGAAAATAACAGTAAGAAAAGATGGTATAACTTCTTTAATGCTACTGGCTTGCAGTGAGGGTGTGGTACTTGCTTGAAGTGTGGGAATTTAAAAAGTCCTGTGCTTAACCAGAGACAAGTCAGTCTCATTGTGGAGTCATTTAAATTTTAAAGACCTAGGGCCCTAAAAAGGGCTCCAGCACAGTTTTGTAATCGAACTCATTAAATTTTAATGACTAGTATATCTTGGGAAGCTGCAGGGACCCCTGATGATTTGCCAGGGATATAACTAAAGCTCCTCTTGCTAGCTTTCTCTAAAGGCAGAATTTCAGCAAACCTTTATTGTGCCCTCTGCCATTTGGAGCTCTGCCTTAGGCATTAGAGGTGACTGAGAGGGAAGCAGGGTGGCTCAGGCAGCCAGGATAATTTTATCTTAGCATTGATTAAATATAAACTTCATTCACTGAAATTTCATGTAGGAAAATGACTGCTTGCATTTTAATGACCTTTTATTTGTACAGTGTATCACTTGCTCATGCTTTCATTTTTAAACTGTTCATAGTTGGAATCTAAAATCTTTAGTTTTCATTTTTTAGGACCGTGTCTTCAGGTTTTCTTCACTTCATCGTGAATTGTAGCACATCAGACTACACAAGGTGTCTTAGTTGAAGTTTCATCAGTTGTAAAATTAGAGGTAAGAAATGTATATATGTCTTTTTTGAAAACAAATGTATGTTGCTGATAACAAGTTTCATGTTTACACCCCTCCACTGTCTAGTCTTCTCCCCTCCGTTTACTCAAGAGCAACAGAAAAAGATGATGTCCATGCAATTTCTTTTTTTTTTTTGCCTTTAATTTTTATTGTTGGTTGTTCAAAACATTACATAGTTCTTGACATATCATATTTCACACTTTGATTCAAGTGGGTTATGAACTCCCATTTTTACCCCGTATACAGATTGCAGCATCACATCGGTTACACATCCATTGATTTACATATTGCTATACTAGTGTCTGTTGTATTCTGCTGCCTTTCCTATCCTCTACTATCCCCCATCCCCTCCCCTCCCATCTTCTCTCTCTACCCCATCTACTGTAATTCATTTCTCCCCCTTGTTTTTCCCCCCTTTCCCCTCACTTCCTCTTGTATGTAATTTTGTATAACCATGAGGGTCTCCTTCCATTTCCATGCAATTTCCCTTCTCTTTCCTTTTCCCTCCCACCTCTCTCCCCTGTTTAATGTTAATCTTCTTCTCATGCTCTTCCTCCTAACTCTGTTCTTAGTTACTCTCCTTATATCAAAGAAAACATTTGGCATTTGTTTTTTAGGGATTGGCTAGCTTCACTTAGCATAATCTGTTCTAATGCCATCCATTTCCCTGCAAATTCTATGATTTTGTCATTTTTTAATGCAGAGTAATACTCCATTGTGTATAAATGCCACATTTTTTTTTATCCATTCATCTATTGAAGGGCATCTAGGTTGGTTCCACAGTCTTGCTATTGTGAATTGTGCTGCTATGAACATCGATGTAGCAGTGTCCCTGTAGCATGCTCTTTTCAGGTCTTTAGGGAATAGACCGAGAAGGGGAATAGCTGGGTCAAATGGTGGTTCCATTCCCAGCTTTCCAAGAAATCTCCATACTGCTTTCCAAATTGGCTGCACCAATTTGCAGTCCCACCAGCAATGTACAAGTGTACCCTTTTCCCCACATCCTCGCCAGCACTTGTTGTTGTTTGACTTCATAATGGCTGCCAATCTTACTGGAGTGGTTTTGATTTGCATTTCTCTGACTGCTAGAGATGGTGAGCATTTTTTCATGTACTTATTGATTGATTGTATGTCCTCCTCTGAGAAGTGTCTGTTCAGGTCCTTGGCCCATTTGTTGATTGGGTTATTTGTTTTCTTATTGTTTAATTTTTTGAGTTCTTTGTATACTCTGGATATTAGGGCTCTATCTGAAGTGTGAGGAGTAAAAATTTGTTCCCAGGATGTAGGCTCCCTATTTACCTCTCTTATTGTTTCTTTTGCTGAGAAAAAACTTTTTAGTTTGAGTAAGTCCCATTTGTTGATTCTAGTTATTAACTCTTGTGCTATGGGTGTCCTATTGAGGAATTTGGAGCCCGACCCCACAGTATGTACATCGTAGCCAACTTTTTCTTGTATCACATGGATCATGCAATTTCATTTGTGTAGATAATAGGCCTTAAATCAGGATGCTAAGCAGCTGCTACTCACTCTTTAGCAGTAGGAGGTACAAGTTCTTTTGATAGTTCATTTGCTATTAGAAACCTCACCAGAGAATGGAAGGTAATTTAGCAGTTGGTTTTGAATAAAAGAGGCTAATCCTGCCCAGAGACCAGATCCCTTATTGGTTGGAGCAGTGGATCTTGAAAGATATCCCCCAATAAATAGCTATCCCTCCACCAAAAATAACTGCACATGTGTGTATATGCAGATTTTCCAGCTTCCTGGTTTGTTTTTTGTTTGTGTTGTTTTTTTGTTTTGTTTTGTTTGTGGTACTGGAGATTGAATCCAGGACCTCATGCATTCTAGGCAAATGCTGTACCATTGAGTTACATTCCCAGCCCTTTTTATTTTGAAACAGTGTCTCATTAAGTTGCCCAGGCTAACCTCAAATTTGTGATCCGCCTGCCTCACCTTCCCAAGTAGCAGGGATTACAGATATGTGCCACGGTGCCTCGCCCAGCTTCCTAGTACTTTTTGTAATTTTTTAATTCTCAAATTTATGTTCAATATCTAAATTGAACAGATGGTTAATCTACTGTTATTATGAACAAATAAGGGCATTGTAATGATAGTTCTTGCTTTGGGCCATTGGCAGATCTGTATCAAGAAAGACTGAGAATATAGACTTTGATTTCTAGATAGTGTGTTTTTCCACCTTATGAAAATGTTCCTGCTCTTTTAAATGTCTATGTCCTAGATTATTAACACACATTGGTGCTTGTTGTAAATTAAGCACTGGACAAGATGTTATGTGACCTGTTCAGTTCATCTTTTTAGCAAGTTTACAAACCTTACTAGCCTTCAGTTATCTTATTGTATAAAACAGAGGTTTACATTGGGATTGGGCTCAGGGTTTTCTAGCTTTAGCACTTTTCACATCTTGCGCCTGGTAATTCTTTGTCAACAGGGACTACGGACTTTAGGAGCATCCTTGGCCTCTTCCCACCAGATGTCAATAGAACCACTCTCCAGTATGACAACCACAAATGGCTCTAGACATTGCAAAATGTCCTTTATAGGGCAAAATCATCCTGGATTGAGAACCACTGGGTTAAATGATGTATTAGAGTTCCTTGCAGCTTCATAATTCTGTTGTTTTTATTAAAACAAAAACAAAACCTTCTCTTTGCAATCCAGCTTAGATGTCATCTCTTCCATGAAGTTTTCCTCAGATTGCTTCCTCTTTGTCCTACCTTAATTCTTTTTTGAGTACTTATAGAATTTAACACCACTCTTCTATAACTACTAGTGTGTTTCTCTCATTTTAGGGCATGGGTCTCCTGTATTTCTCAGCTCAGATTTTATTATATGAACAGTGAATTCAGGAATATCATCAGATTAGAAATTGTTAAGTAAATGGATTCAAATGGCATTTTTGTTAATCTTTCAAACACTTCCACTAGGAAATTGCCACCAAATTTGAATTTCTGGGTTAATGAAACCAATTACCCACTTTTTTGATTTTTTTAGATAGATTAGCTGACAGGAGCTTCCTATATGTATGTGAGAGATCTACACAAACACATCTAGACTGAGAGAAAGAAAGTCACACAAAAATTCATAACAGAGTTGAGCTGTTTCAGTTTTTATATCTAGAGGGCTCTAAAATAATTCTACTTTATTAATTACTTAGCTTCCATCTACTCAGAAATAAGTAAACAGGAAAGGTAGTAAATATTTTTTTGTGGTTTTTTTTTTACATACCTGTCACCTTACATTATTCCTCACCATATTCTAAATATTTCTCAAAGCAACCCAGAGTAGTAATACATTTTAACCATGGTCTAGTGCATATGCATATACCTGAAACAAGATTTTTAAATTAGTATTTATCGTTACTATGTATGTAACATTTTGATGCTCTTTTGTTTCTTTCCTTTTTTTTCTTAAAGAGTGGGCATCAGGGCTGGGGATGTGGCTCAAGCGGTAGCGCGCTCACCTGGCATGCGTGCAGCCGGGGTTCGATCCTCAGCACCACATACAAACAAAGATGTTGTGTCCACCGAGAACTAAAAAATAAATATTAAAAATTCTCTCTCTCTCTCTCTCTCTCTCTCTCTCTCTAAAAAAAGAGTGGGCATCATCAGTAAATTTATTATATAATTTAGTAAAAGGTCACAACCCAGCATTTGAAAAACATTAAGTAATAAAATGTAGAGATGATCTACCTCTGGTTTATGTCACTAATAGGTTGTCCTTTCTTTTTAAATAATGTCACTTAAGAATTGACCCAACAAAGATATTGTAACACCTTAACCAGAACAAATTACATTTCCAATTAAAGTCCTATATTTTGTCATTTATTCTGAGTATTTAGTATGTACAAGGTAATGTCGTCAAAAGAGTATATTTGGTTCTTGTTCTCAAGATTTATGTTGATAAAACCTAGAGGAAATTAAGTTAATAAATATATTGTTTCAAGTCCTAAAAGAGGTAATAAATACAAAGTGATCTTTATAGGTGTTAAGAAAGGGAGAAAGCTGTGCTAATTGAGGTTCATGATAGAAAAATAACATGATTGTGTGATAGATTTTGCATTGTCATATCAGAAAGTGGAAAAAGATATTATGCATGGTAGAAACAGTATTCAGATAGGTGTGCAGTACTTTTGTCTCATACTTGAAGTTTATTTTTTGTATAATAGGATAAAGTGAGAAGTTAACAAATACTAAAAAAGTATATAAAATGCTGAAAATATAGGTTATAAACAGGGTATGTAATTTTAGCTCTATGGTGGTTGTAACATGAAGTTTACCCAGTAGATTAGTTAGAAACTTGTATGCATGATAGCTCTGATATAAGCCAATATTTACCCTAAAATGATAACATTAATATTGAATTACTAGGTTTACTGAGATTGCAGATAACCTCCAAATGGTGGAGGGAGTATGCCCATCTTTCAAAATAAGTGAATAATTTTACTATTCTATATAAATTGCTTTTCACGGGACAAAAACAATTTGTATAGTATTCAGCCTTTAAAAAATGTTATATACTATTTCACCTATGCAATTACAAACTATGTGCTTATGTCATAGGCTCAGGCATAATCATTTGTAAATAGAATAGGAGGCTCAGCATGTAAGTTACAACCAAATGCCATAAAAACCTTGAGAAAATAAGCAGTAGACTATGTTTTTGCCTTTTTGATCTGTGACTTTCTTCTATGGAGTATATAAAATTTAATTACTATGGAAGAATTTTTTTTGAGGGAGGGGGCTATGAATTGAACCAAGGGCTTTGTGCATGCAAGGCAAGCACTCTACCACTGAGCTATGTCCCCAACCCCACTATAGAAGACATTTTTGATCTAAAATGATCTAAAAGAAAAGTGGAAGATTTCGCTTATGATGATACTTGGGAAAGAGCCACCAGCCATAAAAGTGTGGTCTAGCATTCTGTCTGCTGTTACTTTAAGGCACCAGAACTTTACTAGTTTTTGTCATTTTCCATATTGAGTTGGGAAATTAACAAAAAGATAATTATCTTTTCATTTTTGCAGATTTGTAGACTACTGAAAAGAAGGCATTTTCAGAGCCAGAGATGTGAACTTAAAAACTCCTGGGCCAGGGTTCACAGACCATATTGAGGTATTTTTTTCTTCCTAATTTTAAACACTTTTTTAAGTAACAGTTTTATTTTTACAGCAAAATTGAGAAACTGGTATGGAGAGTCCCCATAGATCCTATACATAATTCCCAGTATTATTAATACCCTATGTTAGCTTGATGCATTTGTTACAATTAATGAACCAATACTAAACTATTTTAATTAACTAAAATCTATATTATTTGGATTTTCTTAGTTTTTAATCTGATATTTTTTGGTGTGTTTCAAGATTACATGTAGGAAACCACATCACATTTGGTTATTATGTCTCCTTAGTCTTCTCTTGGCTGTGACACTTTCTTAACTTTCCTTGTTTTTAATGACCTGGACAGTTTTGAGGAGTACTGATCAGGCATTTTTAAGAATATGCCTCAGATGGGATTACTTAGATGTTTTTCTCATGGTTAGAATAGAGTTATGGATTTTTGAGAAGACCACAAGATTAAGTGCCTTTTGACATTCTTATCCCATCACATCCAAAGTACATACTAACAACAGTGCACATTAAGAAGTGGGAAGGTATGCTCCTCTTTCTTGGGTAAATGATCCACATAAATTATTTGGAATACTTCAGTGTCAAGAGAGAGATTCATCTTCCACCTGCCCATTTACTTAACCATTTTTTTTATATCAGTATGGGTTTGTGGATATTTATTTTACAGCTTGAATTATAATCTAATACTATTTTATTTGTTTTGATGTTCCAGTTTTTCCCGCTTTGGCCATTGGGAGATCCTTCAGTTGTTTTGTCATGTCCCCATGATCGTGGATTTTTTTTTAATTCTTTTTAGAAATACATGACAGTAGAATGCATTTTGACATATTATACATACATGAAGTATAACTTATTCTAACTATGATCCCATTCTTGTGGTTGAAATAATGTGTAGTTTTGTTTGAGTACTTCCATATTCTCTGGTACTACAAGATGCTTCAGGCTTATCTTGTATATTTCCTGACCCAGTTCTAGAATCAGCCATTTCTCTATAGGGCCCTGGTTCCTTTTATTAGAGAATGCTGTTAGAAAACTGGGGTATTGTTCCTTCTTGCCTTTCTTGGCTGGAATTCTGTGCGTTTGCTACCTACATATTTATGCATATCTATAAATATTTCTGTGTATAGGTTGCAATTGACAAATAAATATTCATTTGGGGTGGTGTTACAGTTAAATGATATCTGATTATGCTTCTGTTTCTTGGGGGTTATATTTAATTTGAAAATGTTTCAGTTCTATTTTAATATAAACATTATTTGGGTCTCATTTCTCTTTTTAGAATGTAACAATATGAGATAGATGTAGTGAATATTGTGATGATTTCAAAATGGTTTCCACTGTAATGAATATCCTATAAGATGATTGTTTTTGAAATTATTTGGAACGTTGCTGGGCATGGTGGCACACGCCTGTAATCCCAGTGGCTCGGGTGGCTGAGGCAGGAGGATCGAAAGTTCAAGGCCAGCCTCAGCAACTTGGGGAGGCCCTAAGCAACTTGGCAAGACCCTGTCTCAAAATAAAAAATTTTAAAAAGCTTGGGTGGGGCTCAGTGGTAGATGGCCCCTGGATTCAATCCCTAGTACCAAAAAAAAAATATATATATATATATATATATATTATTCAGAAGACTCATTTAGGGAAAATAGCAATTATTATTTCCTAACCTGTTGTTATTTGGTAGCACTCTTAATATATGAACAAAAAGTAATCTTGAAATTGGAACTCTAACCCTCTGTCAGTGAAAGCTTATGTTCCAGTATCAGCCACAGCTTGTTGCTATTTAACTGGAAAAATTCATAGTCTAGTACAAATATTCTTCTGTTTAAAAGCAAGGCTTGCTTTATCCTGTCTTTAATAGTTATGACATTGTCAGATTCTTACCAGGTAGCCAGCAGTACAAGAGAATAATGGTTAAAAGTTTAGACTTCAAGTTTGTGTTCTAACTTTGCTACTTGTTAACATTGTGACAGTAGGCAAATTTTTTTTTACTGTCTCTGAGTCTCAAATTTCCTCACTTATATAATGTGAATGATATTATTAGCTCTCTCATGGGATTATTTTGGGGATAAAATGAGATAAAGCACTTAGCACCATTATTGGTATGTAAATATTATTTAGTTAATAGGATCTAAAATCAAATCCTCCGAAACAGGAAAACAATGGATAAAATTCAAAGCTTTATACTGGTATACATACTTGTTTTAGTTCAACAGTTATTACTGGGCTAGCCTAATCAGAAAAATGAATGGTTCTTTCATTTATTTATTCTTAAAAGTTCTTCAAAACAAGACACACTTCAAACCTGTGAGATGGCATCTCACCAATGTTAACATGATAGCAGTGATTATGAACTATTATTGCCATTAGGGGCTGCATGGGGCTTCTGGGATTTTATGGAAGGGGTCCGGGCAGCAAATTCCTTTCCTTGTCCTGAGACAATCTTTCATAATTATGCCCCAAATTATTGCCTCAATAGTATGTCTTTGGACACATTTGACTAAACTGATACTTACCATAGTATCTTTAAACCTCTTTTAGAACACATTTCTGGTGTGACAGACCCAGCAGCTGTGTAAGTGAATGAAGCAAGTATCTAGGATCCCTAGGGAGTGTAAGAACTAGGCAAACTGGAGCTGATTTGGCCTTTCTAAAAGGGGAGTGGTACCCTAGCTTCAACAAGTTGTTGCCAGTAGTTGCTAGATGGTCTGAATTTTCAGAAAAAAAGTAGATATCTAAATTTTTATGTGAAGTTTTCTTATTTTAAAATGTAGCTCAACTTTTTTTTTAAACACCACCAAGTCCAAACCAGGCAGATCTGTAGGCTGTGGGCTGGATTTGGCCCACAGACCATTGGTTTGCAACTTCTGATATAATTATTTTAGGAAGTGAGCTAAAATTCTGGCAGAGGTACAGCACTCTGAGCCGTAATGGCACCATCCTATGTATTTGCTGAGCTCAGAAAAGGCTGTAGAAACAAAGCACTTAAGTGTCCACGTCATTTTCTCTCAAGTGTGGGGAATTGTGGTATCAGAGCAGACCTGTAGGGGAACTTCCTCTGTGGGTGGAGAAATTCTTTGGGGAGAAATCCTAGCAGCTGCATTTTCAGAAGCAGAGCCCTCTCTGCCTTGTGGTGCTAGTACTCCTGAATTAGGAGGTGGCTGCACAACTGACGGAAGCCTCCATGATGCCACTGCTGAGCCTAGTATCTGGTCCCTTCAGACATTGCCTTGCCTTCAAAAATTAGAGTCCCCACAAAGCTGACAAGCAATGATGGCTCAACCCTGCAGAATCTCTTGGTTCACTTGGCCCCGAACTATACGGTGATCGTAGGGCTTAAACCTTCAGTATTTCTTCTTTCTTGATCTAGGGTTACTGCCCACACAGCTCCACATTCCATCTGGGCTTCTTTGGTGGGGGTGTTTCAAGGGTGTCCCAGGAATTTGGTCACATTGGTGTAGATACTGTTTGAGTCCTCTGCCTAGTTTTAAAGTGTCAAACCATCATTCAATAGTTTTAATATTGGGTTAAAAATAGCCCACTTTAATGTTAAAGTCAGTGTGTATTTTTCATAGTAACTGGTGCATAAATTGATATTTATGGATAAGAATAGAGTGTGTGCTTTGATCTGCATTGTGGCCAGATCTGTACAACACTATATGACAGACAACAGTATTTTCATTTTAGTTGTTTTCTATGGGACTAAACACAAAAATATAGTATTTTTCTGTAAAATGTTAAGTGTTTTTAAAGGAAGCTGACTTAACTTGTTGACTGGGATATTTTCTGTTTGTAAGCTGTTGACTTAACCTCTTTGTGCACAAAAGGGAAATCACTTTTTAAAACATTTTAATGTTATATAATGTTTAAGAAATTAAGTTTATTTGAGTGTGTTATATTGTACTGTGAAATATTAAATGATTATCCACGTCAATCAGTGCTTATGTGAGTGAATGTAGAGGGCAAAGTGCCAACCACTGTTAAGATTACATACATAATTTCTTAAGGAAAATATCTTTATCAATTTTTGTAGGGAGGGTACTGGGGATTTAGCCTAAGGGCTTTACCACTGGGCAACATCCTTTGCCCTTTTTATTTTATATTTTGAGACTTGGATTTGAGTGTCTTACTAAGTCGCTTAGGGTCTCTCTGAGTTGCTGAAGCTGGCCTTAAACTCACAATCCTCCTGTCCCAGCCTCCCAAGTTGCTGGGATTATAGGCATGTGCCACCACCCATGGCTCTTTATCAGTTTAGATCCTATTTGTTGTGAAAAGTCAGCCTACTATTAATCATCTTTTCAGATAGTAATCATCTTATGGGTGTGCAAGTTGTTGGCTTTGATTTGAAAGATTCTTTAATATGATTTTTCAAATGTACATATAAGGTAACTTGTTCCCTTTATAACTGTTTTTTGTGTGTCCTGAAAAAGCTAAATTTATTTGTTAAAGAATTCCTTCCCCCTCTCAACCCTCCACCTCCTCACATACCTATAACTCTTTATTTAGATGATAAACCAATGAGGGTTTGCTGTGTTTTTTTACCCTGCCAGTGAAAGAAAGGCACTCAATTATTGGGAATGTGTCTTGAGGATGTCCTTGGTATCTATCTACCAGTGAGTGATGTAGGGAAGACTGCAGACTTTGAAAAAGACAGGCTTGGATTTGAGTCAAGAGTCTGCCATCTGCTCATTCTTTGAGTTCATTTTCTTATTTGTAAATTGGACATAATCATATGCTACTAATGACATAGTGGTTTAGTAAATGGTAGCTAATAATAGTGATAAAATTAACAGTAACTTTGGCCTTGGTGTAGTGCCTGAGATCTCTGGAGGCTGACAAAACTATCTAAGAACCAGTAGCTCCCAGTAGCTCTGAGATATACAAAGCCTATGCTTTTGACATCTGAAACTTCTCTGTCCTTGTTGACTCTTGTCATCTTTTCTTCTATCTGATAAAAAGACAATTATATTGTCCTTGTATTAAAGGCTTTTGGGGTTGGGAAATTTTTTGGTGCCACTAGGAAATCTCAAGTTAAGACTTTGGGTACATGAGAAGCTCTTTACTGAAGCTTTGATTAAGTTGCTATGAGGTATTCTGAATATGGTCAGAACCTCAAATGTTAGGGATCATTTCCTGGTAGGGAAGTTATTTCTGTAAATACAAGTAGATTTGATTAGTCATTCTTGTTACTGATTTTTTTTTCATTTCACCTAATGAATATATATTGAATACCTGGTCTGTGCTAGGTCCTATGCCTCGTCGTTTGTATACCCTCAAAGGAGATACAAGTTAAATATCCTTTATTCAAAGTGCTTGGAACCAAAGGTATTCCAGAGGTCATATTTTTTTAGATTTGAGAATATTTGCATAGGCTTTTTTGGTTGAATATCCCTAATATGAAAATCTGAAATGTTCCAAAACCCAAAAATATTTTGAACATTGCGTTGGTGCTCAAAAAGTTTCAGATTTTGGAACATTTTAGATTTTGGACCTTTGGATTTGGAATGCTCCACCTATATTGAATTAAGGAATCCAAGAGTTGTCTTAGTTTCTCATTTAAATGAAGATCCTAAAATTTTAGAGCCGTACTCTCTGGTACAATAGTTACTAACCATAGATGGGTACTGAGCATTGAAAAATGTGAACAGTCTGAACTGAGGTGTGCTATTAGCATAAAATATACACTGGATTTCAAGGACTTAGTTTTACAAAAATAATGTAAAATATCAATAATTGTTATATTGATTACATGTTAAGACATTATTTTTATATACTAGCTTTAAATTATTTTTACCTATTTGTTTTTATGTTTTAATGTAGTCACTAGAGCATTTAAAATTGCTTTATATTTTTATTGGACAGTGTTGCCTTAGAGCTTCAGTGACTTGGCAAGTGTACTTATCTAGCTGAGATTCCTTTGGTTAGTGTAAATTATAGATTGCTTTATTGTGAAAGTGGCAGGCAGTGTTTATTTTGATCAAAAAGGTCAATTATTAGGTGGTATTCATGTGTAAACACAGTAACTTGGGAGGCTGAGGCAGGAGGATTGCAAGTTCAAGGTCAGCCTCGGCAGCTGAGAGAGACCCTCAGCAATTTTAGCAACACCCACTCTCAAAAAAAATAAAAAGTACAGGGCTGGAGTTGTGGCTCAGTGGTAGAGCACTTGCCTAGCACACGTGCGGCACTTGGTTCAATCCTCAGCACCACATAAAAATAAATAAATACAATAAAAAGTTATTTAAAAAATAAATAAAAATAAAAAGTACAGGGGATGAAGCTCAGTGCTAAAGTACCCCTGGGTTCAATTCCTAGTACCTCCTCCCCTCCAAAAAAAAAGAGGATTATTAAAACCCTGTTTCAGAAAAAAAAAGTTAAATAATTACTTAGGGCTTTGAAATAATTTGCATTTTAAATTAAAGCCTAGATGATTAATCTAGTAGAATCCCAGCATTTCAGATTTGGAATACTTTTGAAAGGGGCAAACTGGGAAAATGTACCCATTGATATAGTGGCCAGAACTTATTTTTCTTTTTCCTAAGTATTTACAGTTTGCTGTACATAAGTGATCTCTGCTCCCCCAGTATTTGTGAAGGGTTGGGTGGGGGACAAGTTAGGAAGGTCAGGCATGGTGGTGCATGCCTATAATCCCAGCAGCTTGGGAGACTGAGATAGGAGGATCGGTTGCCTCAGCAACTTAGCAAGAACTTGTCTCTAAATAAAATATAAAAAGGGCTGGGGGTGTGGCTCAGTGGTTAAGGCTCCTGGGTTCAATTCCTGGTCCCCCCTCAAAGAAAAAAAAAGGTTTATATATATATATATATATATATATATATATATATATATATATATCTAAATACAAATAATGTTTTATCAGGATAGTTTAGTACAGTCAATTCATCTTTTAATGTATTTGAGCAGATATTGGGGTTGGGCTGTGGAAATGCAGTAGTGAATGAAGCATGGATCTTGAAAAGACTACAGGCTTTTTTTTGGTAATTGGGTTTTGTTTTCATCTTTTTGTTTTTACTTTTTATTTGTAAGTAATTTGAAACTCACAGAAATTGCAAAAATAAAAGTACAAAGAATACTGTGTAGCTTTTACCTAGATGCACATGTCAAAACGTTTCCCTGTTTGCTTTATAGTTCGTTTCTTCTCTGTGTGTATATATGTATATATGCACGTTTGAGTCTGCACACATATATAAGATATATATTTTTCCTAACCTATTTGAGAATAAGTTGTATACCCTTTATCTCTAAAAGCTTCATTGTCTAATTCCTAAAATTAGGAATATTCCTGTATGCAGCCACAACAGTTATCAATTCAGTACACTTAGTACATTCAATATGAATAGAATACTTGTAATATAACATCCATATTTCATTTTTGTCTGTTGATCCGTTTTTTGTATGACATCTTTCCTGAACCTTAAGATTCAATTTAGGATCAGGTTAGTTTTAGTTGTCATGGTTTTGTTATTTTAACTTGGGACATTTTTCTGGCCTTTGTCATATATGACATTGGCATTTTTGAAGACAACATTACCCAACACCACACACACCCCCCCCGCCGCCCTCAATAACACACACATCCAGCACTGGGGATTGAACCCAGTGGTGCTCTACTACTGCGTTTTTATCTCCAGCCCTCTTTTATTTTGAGATAGGGTCTGGCTAAATTGCTAAGACTGGCCTCAAACTTTTGATCCTCCTGCCTTAACCTCCCAACGAGGTAGGATTACAGGTGTGTGCCACCACACCTTGCTCCTCCCCCCTTTTAAAAATAGAACATTTCTCTTTGGATTTGTCAGTTTCTTCATGAGTAGTTTTAGGTTATACGTTCCTGACTGGAATACTATAAAGTGATGTATCTTTTTGAGGATGTCACATCTGGAAGTATATACTGTCTATCTGGCCCTCATTGGCAATATTTCATTTTGATCACACAGGCCTGGTGTTGTTCAGTTTATCCACTAGATAATTACATTCACTCCCTTCCAATTAACAAGCTTTGGAAAAACACTTGTGAGATCATGCATAATATATTCTATTCTTCATCCAAATTTCCCCGAGATTTAGCATCCATTGATGGATAATACTTGAAGCAGTCTATACTGTGATGGCTGCAAAATGATTTTTTCTGCTGCAGCATTCTGCACATTTACCACTTGGATTCTACTGTCAGTAGGAATCCTCCCTTCTCTTCCATATATATACATACATACACACACACACACACACACACACACACACACACACACACACCTATTATTTAACTATCTTTGGTATGAACTTGTGGAGTCCTCTTTTCCACAGACATACAATTCATTACTGTTCTTTATTTTGTTGTCCAAATTCTTACAGGTTTGACTGTTGGGAGCCTCTTCAGGCTGTCTTCCATTCCTTTTCACATGCTCTCATCATTTTTTGATTACTTCCCTACTCTCTGGCATAATAGCATGGTCCAGAAGATGCTGAAGTTTTATATGAGAGATTCTTAGGTATTCAGTTAGTTTTAGGCTAGTATGAGGGTAAGCACATCCTGCAGTGGTAACACAGAAGGCTTTCTAGCTAATGTAGGCATGGCAGCAGGACTGGATGGCAGGATGTCAATGGGAGCCTCCTTAGAGGAGGTTATACCACAGTTGACAAGTACAGGACCAGCAGGACTTGGAGAAATAGGGTGGTTGGGAGGGAAGATAGAAAACATTTCTGGCAGATGTCCCGTTGTGTCATCTGTGACTTTTCAGACGTCAAAATAATTACTGTGCTTTAAAGGAGTGAAATAGCCCTTGGAAAAACATGAGTGATTATGCCTAAGTACATTCTCTCAAGGCTAAAATAATATGGTTGCCAAATAATAACACTACGTACTTTAAATCTAGCTGCTGATTATTTTTTTCACATTAAAATGAAGCTGAATTTTTTTAAGCCACTGACTGGTTATATTACATCAGCAGACTCTCTGGCTAAGTTGAATCCCTCAGTTTTCTAACCTTAAAATTAGATATACTTATCTTAGCATTTTTGATTTTTAAAATATTGATAACTGAATAAAGTAAAATATGTAGCTAGGCTTAACTGTATTTTAATTTCTTTTAATAGAAAATGACTGTGGTGTTGGAAGATCATTACTTTTGGAAAGCCGATTAGCATCAATTCCTAAGAGAAATTTGACCATCATTTGTTCTGGCATGGCGCAAAGCAGTCCACAGCTTGATATTCAGGTTCTCCATGATCTTCGGCAACGTTTTCCTGAAATTCCAGAGGGTGTGGTTTCTCAGTGCATGTTACAGGTAAATTTCCTGCCAGTGATACTGATTTTAAGTTAGTTTTTCCTAATTAGAGTTGGCTTTGTATTGTGGTAACAAACTTAAATTTTCAGGTGTGTGGGAGCAGGGGGCTAGGACAATTTGAGTGGGAGTTCTCAATCTTGGCACTGTTGATGTTTGGGGCTGAATAATTCTTTGTTATGGACGACAGCTTTGTGCCCAGTAGGATGTTTAGCGGCCTCCCTGGCCTCTACCCACTAGGTATCAGTAGCTTCTCCATAGTTGTACCAACCAAAAATATCTCCAAGCATTGCTAAATGTGCCGTGAGAGGCAAAAATCTCTCCCATGGAGAACCGCTGATGTTGAGAAAAGAGTAAAGGCATGTACCAAAGAGAAAAAAATATTCTCTTTACATTTAACTTTTGAATTTTGGGGATGGAACCCAGACTTTCATGCATGCTAGGCAAGTACTCCACCCCCCGAGCTACAGCTCAACCCCTAAAATTGAATTTTGAATCTCAAATTTATCATGTTAACTTCTTTAGAAGTAGACTATACACTTCTGAGTCTTTCTTACCATTTTTCCGTTTGGTAAATCCTTAAACTAATATCTGATTTGAGGTGTAAATCCACTTTTAGTTCATAAGGATTTCCCTTGTCTTGTACTACAGGGACAAGTCTTCCCACTAAAGAGATAACAGAAAACAGGCCTGCTGCTTCCTCTGTTTTGTATCATTTTTCACAGGATCTTGGTGTGTTTGGGGTTATGGCACTTCCCGAATTCATTTACTTTAGGGAGCTGTTCTACCACTCTACCCATGGTCTTCTTCACATGGTAGTCAGTACCCATGTTCATACTACCTTACTGCAGTACAAGTAGCTGAGGATATAACCTAGCTATATACAGGGAAGTTTAGTTACAAATAGAGATGTACAGAATAATGGTGGTAACAGGTGCTTCCTTTGCAGACCCTTTACTAGGTCTAGCCCTTGGGCTTATGGTTTCTGTGTTACAGCTTGCCTTTTTGGTTTGGTTTGTTTTGGTACCAGGGATTAAACCCAGAGGCACTTTACCACTTAGCCTCATCCCCTTTTTATTTTGAGAGAGGGTCTTACTAAGTTGCTGAGGCTGGCCTTGAAATTAGAATCCTCCTGCCTCAGCCTCCTACTTCATGTCGCTTGGGATTGCAGGTGTACCACCATGCCCTGCTTGCCTTTGTTTTTTGTAACACACATTCCCAGTCTGAATCTCAGATCTTTAGCCCCATTTGGGTCTCTGGTAGAACAAAGGTACTTCCCACTGGACTAAAACCAAGCAGGAGAGAGTCTTCCACTTGAAAACACATCCAGGAATCACTTTCTTCACCCATTCTAGGGCCCCACTGAGTTCTGACCTTATTTTGTTTGGCCTTTGATTACATGCATTATTTTATGGTCACTTAACTGTACTGAAGGAATAGACCTTTGAAATTCTGTGTGGTGAACATTTGTTGATATTTACATTGTTCTAAGTCACTTTTTTTCTTCCTTTGGGATTAGTACAGTGTATCAGATTTACTACCTGCTGGCTCTAGAAAGTTTCTTCACTCTAAAACTGTGAAATTTAGAAGTTTGCATTTAAAACATAGGCCTTAAAACCTGTCTCAGGGCAGTCATTCTGATCTCTTTATCCAGCTGGACAATTTTGATTTAACCATTTATTAACTCTTTGACACTTTCACCCATTTTTCTTGTTTTATGACATTTAGCAAGTCCAATATGGCATTTTAATCTGTCTGGTGGTTTTAATAAAGAGGAAAATTTACTGTCACTGTAGGCATGTAATTGAATAAGTTGATAAATCCATTTTTATCAGTTTGAATTTGGATCCTTTTTGTAATGAGACTATTTAGAGGGCATAATTCATTATGTGGAAAGCATGCAATTTCAAGAGTATTAATAAAAATATCAAATAGTAAAATATGTTTCCCCATAATCCATACGTTTATAAAAAGCTTGGAGATAACTGTGTTTTCATTTTTCAATTTTTTTCCTTTAACTCTGTCAGTGACACATTCTAGTTGGCAGTCTGAATCCTTTAGCTCCAAAATTATTTTTGATATCTAGCCCCTTTCTCTTGCTCAATAAGATTTCAAGGAGGATAAGAAAAAGTTAAATCTTTGTGTTCTTGTTTTCTTAACTGTCAACTAACACTTCTTTCTCTAGTATTTTTTAAAGCATTTGAAGTTTAATATCAAAAGCTTTATATAAGGAAAAGATCAAAATTAGATATGAAGTTTCAATGAAGCCAATTCTTTAAATTCCTGAGAATTTATTTTGCAAAAGTTTGCTTGACTGAATGTGTTGTTTCACTTCTAAAGCTCCAGTTTAGTAATATCCTTTTGGCCAAACAACCTCTCCCTTGGAATTACTGTGTGGAAAGAGCACTGAGGCTCAGGAGACCAGGAATCTAGACTAGGTCTCCAGTTAACTAGTTCAGTGCCTGTTGTTAAGCCATGGTAACTTCCCTCAGCCATCTCTTTCCTCATTTGTAAGTATGAGTTTGAGTAGATGAACTCGTGAGTTCACCCAATTCTAAGATTACTGTATTGTTGGTTCTGTTTTAGGTTTAACCTTATTTGCTTCATCAGAAGTGTTTAATTTTTTATATAAAATGTACTTCTCCTTAAATAAACGAATATGTATGTGTATACATACATGTATGTATGTTTATGTTTGTGTGTATGTTTATGAGCTACATAGAAAGTCATAATTGGATTATGATGGATTATATAGATTTATCATATATAATGTTTTACTCTAATAGTTAAAAATTCTTTATTTTAATGGACAACTGCTTTATAATATCTTAAAGTTTTAAAAAAGGAGGCTTTATTACTTTGATTTCTGTTGATTAGAACTACTAAAATGTGAGTTTATTAGTACTATCTATGTGTATAACTAAGAAAATTCAAATCTTTGATTTTGAAAGTTTATCAAGTCACCTTTAGCAGATAGAAACTTGAGACAGCGGGAGTGTGAATGAATTTAAGGCAGTTGAGACCAGTTTTGTTAAATTACCATCAACTCTGGCAAAGTCAGAGTCATGGTTCAAAATATGAAATTGTTTTTTTAACTGATCGTTTTGCTTTGCCTAAATCTTTACAGTGATAGAGGTTTAAATTATATAGGGATAAATTTGGGTAAAAGAAAAGCAAAAGGCTGCTTTAGAATTTTTGTTGTTTTTAACATTTCAGCAGTTTTATTATGTTTTATTCTTCAGTGTTTAGAGTACCTGTTAAAAACTAAAGAATGGTTTTCATTTTATCAATTTAACTATTAATGATGGATATTGCTTATACTTATATATTGCAGCAATTGTGGTGAATCCAAGATTAGCCCAACATTTTAATTTGTTGAGATGCAACAAGTGTAAAATGAGTCCTGGATTTGGAGTCAGAAAACTTGGGGTTGAGTCACAATGTTCATTAGTAGGTACTTTACATTTCTGTAGCAGTAGTAGTAGTGGTAGTACTAGTAATGTGAACTAAATGTTTATAAACTAATATGATTGATTTGGCATCTTCTTTTCAGGGTAGATGACCATCAAGTTTTTTTGTGGTTAAAATACTGTTCTCTACTTAACTCTATGACAGTAGTATAAAGCCTGATTTCCACTATTAAGATTCGTTAATTTTGCCAATGTTATTTTTACCATTTTTCTCCCCTAGAATAACAACAATCTTGAAGCCTGTTGCCGAGCCCTTTCCCAGGAGAGTAGCAAATACTTATATATGGAATACCATAGTCCAGATGACAATAGAATGAATAGAAATCGCCTTTTGCATATTAACCTGGGTATACATTCTCCTGGTAGCTACCACCCAGGAGATGGAGCTCAACTTAATGGTGGTCGAACACTGGTACATAGCTCAAGTGATGGACACATTGATCCACAGCATACAGCAGGTAAACAGTTGATTTGCTTAGTTCAGGAACCACACTCCGCTCCAGCTGTTGTGGCTGCTACTCCCAACTACAATCCATTTTTTATGAATGAACAGAACAGAAGTGCAGCTACTCCTCCTTCACAGCCACCTCAACAGCCATCTTCCCTGCAAACAGGAATGAATCCATCTGCTATGCAAGGGCCTTCACCGCCGCCGCCACCACCTCCTTCATACATGCACATACCTCGGTATAGTACAAATCCAATTACTGTTACAGTGTCCCAAAACCTCCCTTCTGGACAGACTGTACCAAGAGCTTTACAGATTCTTCCACAAATTCCAAGCAATCTCTATGGGTCTCCTGGTTCTATTTATATTAGACAGACATCTCAGAGTTCATCAGGAAGACAAACTCCTCAGAGTACGCCATGGCAGTCCTCACCACAAGGCCCAGTGCCTCATTATAGCCAACGTCCTTTACCTGTTTATCCACACCAACAGAACTATCAACCTTCACAGTATTCTCCCAAACAGCAGCAGATTCCCCAGTCTGCTTACCATTCACCTCCTCCTTCTCAGTGTCCTTCACCCTTCAGCTCTCCACAGCATCAAGTACAACCTTCCCAGTTGGGCCACCCAAGCTCCCATGTGTTTATGCCACCTAGTCCTTCAACTACTCCACCCCATCTATATCAACAAGGACCTCCTAGCTATCAGAAACAGGGAAGCCACTCAGTAGCCTATCTCCCATACACAGCATCTAGCTTACCCAAAGGTTCCATGAAGAAGATAGAAATTACAGTTGAACCTCCTCAAAGACCTGGGACAACAATTACTAGGAGTCCTTCACCCATCAGTAATCAACCCTCTCCTCGGAATCAGCATTCACTGTACACAGCCACCACGCCACCTTCAAGTTCTCCTTCAAGAGGGATGTCTAGTCAACCAAAACCTCCATTTAATGTTAATCCTGTGTATATTACATATACACAGCCAACTGGACCTTCATGTGCTCCATCGCCATCTCCTCGGGTGATACCAAACCCAACTACAGTTTTTAAAATTACTGTAGGCCGAGCAACAACTGAAAATCTTTTAAATTTAGTGGACCAAGAAGAGCGCTCTGCAGCACCAGAACCTATTCAGCCCATTTCAGTGATACCAGGCTCTGGGGGAGAAAAGGGAAGCCATAAATATCAGAGGAGCTCTAGTTCTGGATCAGATGACTATGCCTATACACAAGGTAAATTTTAGCCCTTTTTATAAAAGTTAATCTTTGTGGTAAAGTGGCAGTCTCCTATTTGAATAACACTCTGTTAGCTGGTTAGTTTTAATTAAATGTTTAATATTTATTAAATGTTGGGCAGTGACATTAATGCTTCAGAGTCATCTATACGCTGTTTTAAAATATGAATGTATAGGTGTGAAAATTGTGACTTATTAACATTTTGTGTGGGAGAACATTCATTGGGGAAAAATACCAACCAGTGAAATAATAAGTGAAATGGATAGTCACAACTACAGAATAGGAAAAAGAGATTCAGACAGGGTGGAGGGTAGACTGTAGTTCAAAGAATGTGAATCTTTTCTGAAGATGGTCTGAAGAGCATAACAGTACTGATAAGTAATATAAAAGAAGTGAAATTAGTAATGAAGAATATTATTGGAGTAGCTAATATTAGACCTATAGAAAAATTGAGATTTTTAAAAATCTTAACTTTTAATATTTATTTTTTGGTTGTAACTGGACACAATATCTTTATTTATTTATTTTTATATGGTGCTGAGGATTGAACCCAGGGCCTCCCACGTGCTAGGCGAGCACTCTACCACTGGGCCACAATCCCAGACCCATGTTCAGATAGTTTTAAGAGAGGAGAATTTAGTACTTTTTAGTAATCTTGCAATGGATGGGGAGTGATTATAATTCTAAGTTAGTTTGCCTGATATTAAGCCTTTTAAAACACAAGTCCAGTTAAAGAGAATCTTGTGGAAACTGAGGGATATCCTTAGGGAAATAAAAGATGAATGAACAAGACGGATGTGCAGGTGATGTATTTTGGTAGTTAAGAGCTAAATTAAAGCATTAGAGTAAATGCTGACCCCCAAGTTGGATGAGTGCTTTATACATTAGCAGTGCGTATAGAAATTTTCCAGTCACTTATTCAATGTTATTCTCTGCAATGACTTTATCTATAATGCTATAGCCTTGCTGTTACATCAGCGAGCAAGGATGGAGAGGTTAGCAAAGCAATTGAAAGTTGAGAAAGAGGAGCTAGAGCGGTTGAAGGCTGAAGTTAATGGTATGGAGCACGACCTGATGCAGAGACGCCTCAGAAGAGTCAGCTGCACCACTGCGATCCCCACGGTAAGTGATCTTGATAGGAAAGTGGCCATTTGTTTTTCTTTTAAGTTCTGTTCCTGACAGGGTTTTTTTAAAAACAATGGATACAGGACTTGTCAGAATTATTTTTTTTCACATGTGCAAATAGGCTCATCAGTATTTTCAAAGACAGTTATAATCAAGGTATAGCATCTCATTTATTGCAAATTGCTTTCTGTTAAAATAGAAATATGCACCCTGATCAAAAGTTTTATAAATTATTCTCCATGTATTCATTTATTCTTCTAAGCAGAGGATATATATTTGTTCAAATAGTTAAATATGAATTTGGGGACAGTATTGACTATAGGATGTTTTAAGGCAAAGCAATTTCACCAAATGTAAGTCATTGTAGAAACTGAGATGACAGTATTGATTGATAGTGGTCCTTCAGGGAACTTCTCTGATGAAAAGATTTGGGTATTTTCAACATGTTGGTTAATGTATAGGAGTTCTAATGATCTCAAATAACTCCCAAAATTCTAAAGCACGTCTCCTAAAATCTTGGGACTCCACAAGCTTTCTGTGATCCAACCTATCATTTCACCTTTCAACATTCATGGATTCCAGTTTTTGCATACAGCTTAGGAGTGTGGTGCTATGCTAGGTGCTTAGTGCATACCTGCCAATGGGAAAAATAGATAATTGTATTAATACATTGGGGCAAGTGCCATATATGGTGCCGGGTTAATGAGAGAACACCTACATTATCTGGTTTGTCAGTATATTCTATGCACTTCTTTCCTCTCACATTATCCTCCTGGAATGACCCTTCTAAAATTCTGCATGTATAAATCCTGTAGTTCAAGGCTCACATAACTCTACCTTTTTCTGTGGAGCCTTTCCTCACTTTTCCTTCCCTCACTAAGTTTAGGGTTATCTCTCAGCTTATAGGTTCAAAGAAACAAGCATATATGTATCAGGCCTCTTGTCATCAGCATAGCTATAGCTCCTTTCTCATAGAGAAAATTTTACTTGAGGTTCCCGGCTTCAAAGGGGATCTGTGAAATCCCTGAAATTAAGTGCACAGTTTCATATGTGTGATCATATGGGAGGTGGAAAAATAGCTTTCATCTGATTTTCATAAAATTATTAAAGGAAAAAAAAGGGTGAGAAACCACTGCCCTAAACAATTGCTAGTATTGCTATAGTCATGGAGGAAAGGGGGAAGGCATTTTAAAAGGTAAAGAACACAAGATAATGAGGGCTTGAAGTCAAGACAGGGACTAATTTTCTCAAGGCAATAAATAGAGTTCCCTGGCTTAAGCTGATTTCTGATGAGTTTCCAAAGATGAATGTGCATAGAGGTATAATATGGTTTAGACCTTGAAAGCTGCATCAAGGCATTTGAATTTTATTCTGCTGGTAACAGGGAACCAGTAGAAGTATTTGAGGAAGAGATTTTTGAGAATTAGGCATATTCAATAATTTAATCAGATTTTTTCTAATTTTGACTCTTCTCAGTTAACATTAGAAGGAAGAGTTTTCATTAAGCACTTGGAAAATTACAATGCTATCTTTTAACTAAAGGTGATGTTACTGTAAATTCAGTTTCTGCCTCATTTTCTCTATTTGAAAATCTTAATTGAGTCTTCTGGTTAGGAAAGTTATTGAAGTATAAAACCCATATGGGAATCTACTTAATGATGGTTGTGTACTTTGTAATTCTCCAGGTACCTGTACAGCATAAACAAATTAAGCATTTTCTTTAATCTTATAAACCTTGCTTATCAACTACTTGCTACATGATACCCTCTGCTAAATAAAACTATTTAAAAAAAATTGGAAGTCAGAAACTGTCTAATGTAACCTGGGTTCGTTCTTCAAAAAAAAAAGCACCCAGATTTTAGATTGGAGCTTTTATTGATGAGTCAGTTTCGAAAACCAAAAAAGATAAGTTGATAAAACTTCCCTGACTATATTTTTAACTTTTTAAAAAGAGGATTTCAAAGATAAAGTGAGTATAGTGTGTGTAGAACCATCTTCAAGCTTCAGAAATTGGTAGTTATATGGGTGATAATCAAGAGATGAGAGGTTTGTGATTGCCTTGTAATTCTGCTGTCAGACCTATAGTAAAATGGAAGACACTTAGGAGTGCATGGCTGAGGAACAGTTTGTTGTACGTGGTGGTTAAGATTGTGAGTGGGCTTTTGAGTCAGGTATAAATTTGATTTCTATTTCCCCTACTTGTGTCACTCATATCTTTGGATAAATTACATTCTCTATGCTTATTTTCTTCTCTATAAAATGTGTATGGGAGAGTTCCCATCCCATGGGATTTTCTTTAGAATTATATAAGATACAATAAGCAGTAGTGTTCTTATAAAACATTGGTTGCAAAATACTAGAATTTTGCTTACTATATATGATACACACACACACCCCCACACCCCCACCTGTTAATATACAAATCCGAAGCAATTTACAAAACTTTGGCTTTGCTTTAACTTAAGAAATTATGTTGTGCATGTTCCTAGTGTAAGAAATTAACCAAGAAATAAATCATTTAGTCAAAATTCTCATTGAGGCTCATTTGAGGAATCATAAGATAATGGAAAAGATAACTGTCTAGGCTTAGGAGTCTGGCACTCACTGGCTATAGTCAACTGGTCTTATTTGATTTGTCCTTTCTATAAAAGGGAAATTATAACAAATACAATATTGTTGTAAACATGAAAGAGACAATGTATGTAATATGCCTGGTATGAAGTAGGTGCTCGGCAAATGCTGTCATTGTCCCACTTTGTTGTAAGAATAGCCAATAGAGTGTTGACATTTTTGCACATATTGCTACCTTCAAGTTTAGACAAATTAATTTCTAATCAAACAGTGTACAAAAAGTTGGTTAAGAAGTGCTTGCCTAATGAGGTTGCAAGGCACATTTGTGACCAGCCATATGTGTGTTTCAGAAACTTAGTGTAGAAGTGAAATAATCTTTTCCTAAGGAGAATAGAAATGTTGAGATGTGGCATGTCATTTTCCCTCAGTCTGCTGTTTACAAAGTACTATATTAAATGATGCAGAAGATGGTTTAGATATGTGCATATAACTATAAATCTATATATGTGTGTGTGAGAAAGAGAAAAGTTATGTAGGGTAGTAAATCAAAAGTGTTGGCCTGCTAATTGGTAATGACATAAGTACTTTCAGAGTTCAGAGATAGAAACAGCCTTTTGCTAATTGGATCCAAAGATGAGACAGTTTCATGGAGGAAGGGAAATTTTAGGCAAAGAACTGCCAGTTTTCCTTCTACCAAGCTATTTCTCACTATTCATCTTATTCTAGTTGATTTTTGGATACCCCACAGCTTTGAGTCCCAAATGCATATCTGTGGATAAGTCACCAAACATCAACAGTGGTCTTCGATGTTGGTCTCTGTGGCACAATGGTTGCCACAGAGTTAAAGTGCCATAACAGTTGACTTAGGTATTTCTGCCACCCTTAAAAAAAAAAAAAAAACTTAGAATTTTAGATGCAAATAATTCTAACTAAAACCTGTCCTCCATGAAAACACAGCATACTTTTGGCAAGTGGCAGTAACTATTCAGAAACAACTTTCCCCTCTCAATCAGAAGTTAGGAAAGGGACATAGGAATTTTACAGATAAACCCTGAGTTTAGTGGATTCCAGTGGCTCTGGTGTGTTTGAAAATGAGCCTAATGACCAGAGTGATTTTTTTGTTTTTGTTATAAGCAAATGTGTAGTAACCTTTACTATGCAGGGCCACGGCTGAAAAATCTCTTTGCACCGTCAAAAATACATAGGAAGGATCAGTGCCTTCAAGAGACTATATTACATGGTCCTAGGAAGATAGCATCACTCTTTGGATCCCTTAATTAATTGCTTTATCTTTAATGTAAATGCTCAATTATACCTTTTAAACTGTTACAATGTTGCCTGGTAGGCAAGGTATAAGCATTTTACATGTTAATGCTACATAGTTTCCCATAGAAGTGAGGAAAGAAAAACAATACCTAATATTTTTGAGTGATTTTTTTGTTTGTTTTTCTAGCATTCTAAGGGATAGTAGCTTCTATTAAGCCTTTTAAATCTCTTAAACTTTTGATCCTTTCTCATTTAATGGACATTCCCAGTTATTCTAATAATACCTCCTAATAGCATACAATTTTGTGAATTAAGATATTCTTTCTCATTTTTCTTCACTGTTGAATACATGTATTTTGGTAAAGGTTAAAGACATTAACAGAATAGAATTTTTTTCTGTTTTCCCACAGTAGCAGATACATGTTTTTTTTTTCTTTTTATAGTTGAAACTACCCTAGTAATTGAGTTAATACCTGGACTATGCTGAAAGTTTCAGTACCTGTGCCTCTAGAGTCCAAACACTGACCTTATTTTTTTACTGTTCTCTCTCTCTCTCTCTCTCTCTCTCTCTCTCTCTCTCTCTCTCTCT